TTCTGCTGCCTGCCTTGCAAGCGCAAGGTCTGGAGTTCAATCCCGGTACAAAACAAAACAAAAAACCTATATATATATAATAATGCAGATTCCTGCGCCTGTCCCTGGCACTGGAATCCAGAAGCTGTGGGACATAGCCCCCTGGGATCTCCTATGATCTAGATCTACCTTTCCAGAGACAAAGGTTAGCAAGTGCCCTTGTTTCCAAAGTGGCACACCAATGCCCTCAACTTGCGACTTGCCTTGCCAGGAATTAACTGGTCTCCTTTGAATAAATACCTTTCCTCAGGTCTCAGAATCCTCACCATGACCCTTATTATTGTTGGGACTACTGGAACCCAGAGAGGGAGTGTGAGGCCCCAAGCACAGCCCCCTGAGGCCAGTGGCAGGGAGCCCCCATGGCCTCCAGTGTGTCCCTTTAAAAAGATGGCCCATCCCTGGCAACTGGTACTCAGCTGGGGCTCTGGGGAGCCCTTGGGAAAGGAAGGAGCAAGACTGGGGGAGGGGAGCGCTGGCCAGAAAGGTGACTCTGACAGTAACCAGAGGCCAACGAAGGCAGAAAGGAAGCCTGGGTCCTTCCTCCCAGACCTGGAGCTGAGGTTGGAAGGTTAGTGATGTCACGGTGGTTTGTAGGTGATATATAGCTCCTATCTTGGCATTTTTCTTGCTTTCCCCATCCTCTTTGGGTACCCCATTTCCAGAGGGTTATACTAACACGAGAGAGGGAGGATGACTTTCTCAGAGTCACCCAGCACAGTGAATTCTGTTCCCCTGAATCGTTTGCTTTCTCTTGACTCCTGACCATGGTAGAAGGCAGAGAGTCACCATATTGTCATCCAAAGAATATAGGGGCTGCTTGCCTTTGCTTTACCTGGACCTTTGGGGGCAGGGGGTCCTGGTCTGAGGGGTGGCCTGTACGGCGGGGTTTAGTATGAGGCTGCTCTTTCCCCAGTGACATGGGGCAGGTCCCTCCCACTGTGAGTGTGTCCCTCATCTATTGATGGGACTTGTACTGCCACCTGGGGCTGTCAGGAGGATGAGGGGAGCTGGGGTGCATTTGTTTGTTTTTCCTTTCAAAATGCCTGCAAGGTTTATGTTGTTTCACAATAAACAAGGCCATGGGACTTAAGCAAGGGAGAGGGCGGTACAGATGTGTTTGTCACAGGGAGGAGTCTGTTGCTGGGTTGGCACAGGCCCCAGGGACCCCCTGAGCCGTGGGGACAGCTCAGTGGTCTCTGTGGGTCAGAGCCCGGGTCCAGGGACTGAGAGATCTTGGCAAATCGTGAGAGGTCTTAGTGCTGACTTGGATCTGATCAGTGGTTTCCACACTACAGAAGAAACAGGTCCAAGAGGGGAAGGCTTCGATCAAGGTCGGCGGGAATTCAGGTCCAGAATTGGTGGTGTTTGTCTGTGGCGCTGGAGAATGAATGAACCTGGGGCACTCCACTACTGAGCTATACCTCAGACCTTTGTATTTATTGTTTTTGTTTGGTGGTGGTATTTTTTTTTTATTGGGGATCAAACATGGGTCCTTGTGCTTGCAAGGCAGGCAGCGGAACCACTGAGCTAAATCCCCGGCCCAGCCCTTTGTTTGGTGTTTTTGAGTCAGGTTCTTGCTATGTTGTTTAGGCTGGCTTTGAACTCACTGTATAGCCCAGGCTGGCCTAGAACCTGCCTCCTCCTTCAGCCTCTCAAGCAGCTGGGACTACAGGCGAACGCCACCACACCTGGACAGGTCTAGAGTTTTTAAAATGAGCTTCTTCTAAAGTCTGTCCTTACCATTAGGTGGTGCTGGGGATGGCGCTCGGCAGTGCTGGGGCTTCAGCCTTGAGTAAGGGCCGGGACAGGAGATCCAGGTGGAGCTGGAGACTGTAGCTCAGAGGTCCTGAAACCATGAGAGTGACAGTCACCTTGCGCCAGAGTGCAGGGTTGGACCAGTGGGCGCAGGACAAGTGTGTGAGGGGCTGGGATGAGGTGAGGATCCAGAGCTTGGGTGGTGGTGGGCCACAGGTGCACAGCAGCACAGGTGTCTGCCTCTCTCTCACTGCCAGTGTGACTGTGCCTGGCTGTCCCCTCTGGGGACAGAGCCTAGAACCAGGCCCAGAACCGCTCTCTTCCTCCTTCCAAAGCCACTGGGCTCTGGGGTCCAGTGTCGTACTTGGTGGTGTACTGGGCCACTGCTGGGCCCCTGGATCAGTGTAAAGAGGCAGTGCAAATTTCTTTCTTTCGTCTTTGTACTCCCACCCGCCTCCATACTGGGAATTGAATCCAGGGCTGTTTTAAGGGCTACCACATCCCCAGCCGTATCTATCTATCCATCTCTCTCTCTCTCTCTCTCTCTCTCTCTCTTCATCTTCATCATCATCATCATCATCATCATCATCATCTTTTTTTTTAAATCATCTGTTTTGAGACAGGGTCTAAGTAGCCTAGGTGAGAACTGAACTTGGAACCTGATATCCTCGGACCTCAGTGCTGGGATTACAGGGTGTGTCCCTATGCCTGCCTTGGTTTTTCTTTTCTTTTGGTACCAGAAATTGAACTCAGAACCTTGCGCTTGCCAAGCAGGCACTGTGCTGGTGAGTCACATCCCCAGCTCAGGGGCTGGGGATTTACATCAGTGGTGCTGATGCCTGCCTTGCAGGCTCATGGTTCCACCTGAGTTTGATTCCTGGTACAAAAAAAAAAAAAATCCAAAATCCAAAAACAAAAACTGAAACATCCCCAGCTCACTCTGCCTGGCTTGTACATTTTTTAAATTTTTTATTATTATTATTTTTTTTGGTCCTGGGGATGGAACTCAGGATCTTGTGCTTGCCAGGCAGATGCAGTGCCAATGAGTTGTATCCCAGGCCCAGACTTGTACTTTTTTTTTTTTTTTTTTTTGGTTTTTTGAGACAGGGTCTCTCACTATGTAGCTGAGACTGACCTGGAACTCATTACGTAGCCCAGGTTGGTCTCGAACTTGCAGTGCTCCTCCTGCCTCAGCCTCCTGAGTGCTGGGATTACAGGCATGCGCCACCACGCCTGGCCTCCAGACTTGTACTTTTAATGGTTGCTTAAATGTTTTAAATACACATTGTCTCTATACTTGGATTGCAAAAAAAAAAAAATTTTTTTTTTTAAGATAAGGTCTTGCTATGTAGTCCAGGCTGGGCTTGAGCTCACTATGTAGCCCAACCTGGCTTGGAACTCATGGCAATCCTCCTACCTCAGCCTCCTGAGTGCTGGAATTATAAGTGGGTGCCACCACAGCCACTTAAAAAATATTTTGGAAAAATACTGAAAAAACTAGGCACACTCTAAATCAAAGCTGGGGTGGGCTGGGGATTTAGCTCAGTGGTTCTACTGTCTGCCTTGCAAGTGCAAGGACCCAAGTTCGAGTCCTGGTACCAAAAAAACAAAAAAAAGCTGGGGTATCCCTGGAGCCCACAGAGGCAGGCTAAGTGGCTGATAGTGGCTCCAGAGTCCCCCAGCTGTCCTGGGCCTTCTACAGGTTCATGCTCCCCATCCCCCATTCCCAACTCTCATTCCTGGCTCTCTAGGGTGCACCGCCTCTCCTGGGACCACAGCCCACCCCCACCTTATTTGCAAGGCAGCAGCCTGTCAGAGGCTTTCAAGGCACTTCCTGCTACCCCTAACCCCTTGCACCCCACTCCCCCATGTTCTCACTTGAGGCGTCCTCTGCCTGGCATGTGCTCCCCTTGCCCTCATCAATGTTTTCATCATTTAGGCCGCAGGTAAAACATCCCTTCCTCCTCAGAGGAGCCCGGACCCCTCACCCTCCTCCACTGTCTACTGTTGCCACACAACTACTTCTAATGAATGACTGAGGTTGAACATACTCACCCCAGAATCAATAACTCCCCATCACAAAGTCAAGGGGAAAATACATTTTCTGCTGTTTCCCCAGAAGCATGTGGGTAGCCAGGCACTGCCCCAGCAGAGAGGTTGGCCTGGTCCTCTCCCCATGCTGCTGGCTTGCAGGAGTCCCCAGTACTGGATGTGGAAGGCTTGTGACTCCTTAGCCTGACATTCACTGAGCATTTAACTGGGGCTACAGAAGAAACGCTGGGCCTTCTGCACAGGCTGTGCCATCTGTGTGAGGCCTCAAGGACTCCTGGCCTGAACAGGCAGGCTCTCAGGAACAGATGCCAGGCCAAGCCGGTGCCTCGTTTTATTCCTTAGCTAGCACGCTGGGGAATGCACGGCCTCACAATGAGGTCCAGAGAGCAGCAGTGAGAACATGGCCTGGATTTCAGTGCAGGCTCGGCCATTTGACAGCTGGGTACTTTTTCTTTTTGCCAGCTGGGTAATCTTGCTTTTCTGTCCTTGTTTCCTCCATGGTAAAGTGGTGCCAACCTGCCCACCTCAGGTGTATGTGGAAGCACCCTGGCCAGTCAGGCCCACAGGAGGTGCTAACTGCAGTTGCCTGACAACAATGCAGACCCAGCCAGCAACCCTGACCCTGTTCAAGGAGGCCACTGCAGCAGGTGGGAGAGATCCCTGGGCTGTGGACCAACTTCACAGCCAAAATGAAACTGGAAGTAGGTGGGCTTGGTGGCACATGCTTGTAATCTTCATACTTCACTGCAAGTTCAAGTCCAGCCTCTATCTAGGTAAAAAATAGAAATAAGCTGGGGATGTAACTTAATGTGTAGGGCCTGGGTTGAATCCCCAGCAGCCCCCAATGCACACAAACTAGAACAATTCTTGAGGTTGGACACTCCCCATGGGTCATTCAGGGAAGACTTTGGATTTGAAGCTGCTTCAGCATTTGCGAGGTGGCCAGCTGCGGCACAGAGTACTCTGAGTCCTGTCCCCAACTCTAGAGACAGTGGTGACAGCCACACATCCTTCCTTCCTCACTGTCACCACTTATCCATAGGCTTACAAGCCAGCCAAGGCGGCACGGCTTCAGCAAGGTAAGAGTGTGAGGGAGACGCTGAAGAGGCCCAGGCTTACCTTCCCCCGACCCCGACACACAGAGAGAGCTGATCTGAGCACCACACAAATGCAGCAGGCAGAAATGAGTTTATTGCATTAGAAAAACACCAATGAAAACCAGCAAACACCTCTGTATGGGACACAATTATCAGCCTGACTTCAAGGGTGTAATCGAATCTCAAAGGTATGAGCTTTGTTCCTGGGAGAGGGTGACGGTCCCACTGCTCCTCTTTCCTTGTCCCTTTAGACCTCTAAGAGGCGTCCACTTCGTGACAGTGCATGACTCATTCGCTTCCTGGTCCCCAGGGTGCTCCTGAGGCTCTGGGATGGGCGGAGATGTGGGATGTGGCTGCAGGGCCTAGCTCAGGCCTGGCTTCTGCCCTGAGTGGCGGGGCTGGGATGGGGGAGAGCAGCTTGCCCGCCCACGGGCTCTGGGTCACACTCACCCGCGCCTCCATCTTCCACCAACCCAGGGCACAGCAGTGGCACAAATGGCTGCTGGACATGAAGGGTAGCATTCAAGGAATCAAGTGACTCAAGTTCCCTCATGGAGTCACTCAGGAGAACTCAGAAGAGCCCTGGGTCTGAAAGTGACCACTGCGAGGAGCAAAACGAGCTGAGCCCAGACATGGGATAGGAGAAAAGCTCATTACCCTCTGGGTAGAGATGTGTGCTTCAGGCAGACAGGAAAAGGGAAGGACACCGGTGGGATGCTGGTCAACCAGCTTCCCTCCAGGAAGAAACCCAGCCTCTGACACCCATTTTCCCTGAAACTGCCAGTAGGTCAGCATCAAGCCATTCCTGCTTCTTTCTGCTCTGATTAATTACTGCTGCACACACTGGGCCTGAGAACTAAACCATTCACTCAGTTGGCCTGACCTTAAATTCTAAAATCTCAGTTGACACCAGCTGGACATGCCCGTCAGATCACAGGCAGACACCAAGGCAGAATGACATCTTTCCCTCTAGCTGAGACCCTGATAATGCCAACTTCTATGGCTAATGGCAAATACAGCAGGGGCAGGGCCAGGGTGAGCAGCAGATTTCAGGGAGGAAAGGCCCCTGCCCCAGAAGGGGAGGTTGGACTCAAGTTTTAGAGGGGGCAGGGAGCCAGGGCAGGAGGGGCCCAGGAAGCAGAGCCAAGGGCCAGGCACCTAGCAGCTCTGAGCCCCTCTCCACCCTCTCCTAACTAAGCTGTGGAATACACGTGAAGAAAGGATGTCTGAAAGCTGTCCCAGATCTGAGACTTCCAGACTGCTCTGCTTATAAACTCAGCAGCAAGTCATTAGGAAAATGCCCACTCATACCCCAGTCGCACCTCCTTAAAGTCAGGATGACAATGGAAATGATGTGTGCCATCAAGTCACATGCAGGATAATGGAAAAGTCCTATTGGAAACAACTCTAAATTTTCTTGCCATCTTGATTGTGCATCATATTCTTTCTACATTCCCTAAGCTGGGACTCATGTCCCTTTGGTCCCTAGCTGAATGCTGCATATGGGGCCAGGTGTGGTTTCTGTGCAGGCGGAGGGCCTGGGTCTCTGCGGCTCTGGCCCAGCCCTATCCACCGTAGCAGGTCCGCCAAGCAGCCTCACCAGCAAGGCAGGTTTTCCCAAATCCATGGCGGAGGATTGGCGATCAGTCTGGGTGGGAGGAGGAATGGCTTTATCCTGTTTTCTCTGGCCTGGTACTGGCTGTCAATTTCCCAATTCCAAGCTGTGTCGGTTGCAGCTCTGGTCCCTGCTTGTAGCAGGGGAGGGAAGATGACACAAGTCTGGCGAAAGAGCTCACTGAGGTCAGTTAGTCATCCTGCAACTGGCCCCACGTGCACCACATCCTTTGGTTCATTTAATGCTAAGAGTAACTGCTTCTGGGTCATGGTTATTGGAAAACTCCTTGTTCCCACAGGTGTGGCAACCTGGGTGAGATGTGGGTATTCTCCGGAAAGAGGTTCCAGGTTGGGGCTCCCCCAAAATGTCCCTCTTGACTACTGCTGAAACAAACCCCCTTTCTCCAGTGTGGAGGACGCTTTGGAAACAGCGTCAAAAGTGAACTCACAGACAAGACAGCCTTAATAAATTAGTATAATACTATTAGAAGGGGGGCGTTTTGTTTCGTGTCTTAGCAGCATTGTCCTACGTGCAGCCTGACAATCTCCTTCCCTGGGAAATTTAAAAAGCCGTCCCCTGGTTGTTAGCTCTGATGTAAAATTATAAAATAGAAATCTGGTAGGATTTTTTTTGTTTAAAAAGGAAAAGCCCTGTAGAGCAGGTAGGCAGGCGGACCCAAGCAGCCCGATTAGCTCTGGCCATTTTGTCTGCCCACCGTGTTTCCTCCAGGAGGCTGGATTTGGATGGAGTCCAGGAGAGGCCGGAGGGCTTGTCCAAAGGGCCTGCGGGAAGACAGACATCACATGGGCTGTCAACTGGAGCCAGCCGCAGACAAGGTGCAGAGGTCATAGAGTGCACGGTGGTGGCAGCAGCACCTCTCTAGGAAGGACCACCCTGGGATCACTGGTAACTTTTTTTGGTATTGAGGCTTGAACCCAGGGCCTTCACACTGAGCTACGTTCCCAGCTCTGTTTAAAAAAATTATTGTTGGTACTGGGAATTGAACTTAGGACTTTAAGCTTGCCAGGCAGGCATGGCACCACTGAGCTACATACCCAGCCCTGTTGTTTATAATTCTGACAAAGTTCTTCACTAAGTTGAGCCTATCTCAGCCACCCAGAATGTTGGCATTACAGGTTTGTGCCATCACAAGCAACTCTCATTTAGTTTTCCTGCATCTCACTCACTAGTGTTGCAGAGGAAGCCACAGTCTGGATAAGGTCCCCAAAGGTTATGCGCTGCTCCCGGACTGTGATGCTACTAGGAGGTGGCGAAGACTCTCAGGGGTGAGGCCTACGGGAGGGAATCTTGTCAATGGGGACATCCTTGAAGGAGACAGTGGGATCCCAGCCACTCCACTTCCTCTCCTTGCTCCTGGCTCTGCTCCAGCCTATATTTCCTGCCAGAAAGTGCTTTGTCACCATAGGCCCAAGGCAAAGGGGCCACTGACTGGCCAGAAACTTCTGACAGTTTGAGCCCAAATAACCTTTCCTCCTTTACATGATAATCTCAATACAGTAACAAAGCTGACTAGCACAGAGGCTCTCTCTCAAATAGCCTGCTCTGGTTTGTTTGGAGACAGGGTCTCCCTATGTAATCCAGGATGGCCTTGAACATGCAGTGATCCTTTTGCCTCAGCTTCCCGAGTTCTGTGATTACAGGCATGTGCCACCACACCCCACTTGCTTAATGTGTGTTTTTATTCCTGGGCTGTCCCAGTCAGTGGGCACTGCCACCTCTAGGGCCTGGTGAGTGAACTGTGGTTTGATCAGGCTGGCTGCGCACAGGAAGTTGGAGCTTTCTGTACTGGAGGTACTTGTACCTGTGATTCTTGTGAAGAAGATAATGTTGAAGAGAGGAAACTGAGGCAAAATGAAAAGAATATGAAAATGATAAAGTCGGGCATGAGGATGGCACACAATTAGGTTTTGCTAGGACCGGAGGTCATCCAGGGAATACAGGGAACAGTCAGGAAAAACGACCCACACCAGGATGCAGAGGTTTGGCTGTCACTTTGCAAAGGGCTGCGAGTTTGTTCTGATAGCAACTTGTTGGGGGGGAACGGGACACTGTAAACACTGGAGTTGGGAGACTTTTCAAGATTATTACCCCCGAAACACAGCTGCTCACTGCACATCTAGGAATTGACGTTTTCTTTGGTGAGAGTGGCCGTTTTTGAAAATCACCCCCAAGTTCAAGGGAATGAAGCACAAACAGATGACATCTACAAATATTGATCCTAAGTCAGATAAGTCCAGGAACTCCACCCCTGAGAGAACAACAGCAAAGACATTCCAGCTACTCCAGTTTCCTCAGGGCTCAGAAACCTAGATCGCTGTCAGGCTGTGGGATTTCACCCATCTAGGGGACAGGAAGGCGAGGCCAGGGCTGGGAGACTGGGCTCCTCAGTCTTGTTTTTCCTGAGCTTCTGACACAGGTGTGAAAAATAGCTCAGCCGTGGAGCCATCTCAACCTGCCAGGATCCTACTGGGGAGGACCCTCACTTAGGAGAAATGGAGTCAGAGCCAACAAAAGCACATGGTTCAAGCGTGGGCAGAGGGTACCTGAGAGCAAAGAGGAGGAGGGGAGAGATGGTTTTGGGAACGTGTCTTCCAGGGGATGCTGTTGCCTCATGATGGCTTGGGGGCCACAAAGTGTCCTTGAAGAAAATATCTACAGGGCCGGTTATATATATTTACAGAGGGCTGAGAGTGCATTTAAGTGCATTTAAGGTTGGAAGGCAAGCGGATCTGGGCTTCAGAGGGACTCAAAGGGTTCAGAAGGGCTCAAAAGGGTTCAGAGTGCACTGGAAGAAAGACAACAGTGCATGGTGGCACAAACCTGTAGTTCCTGCAGTCAGGAAGCTAAGGCAGGAGGATTGCGGTGTCTATATATTTACAGAGGGCTGAGAGTGCATTTAAGTGCATTTAAGGTTGGAAGGCAAGCGGATCTGGGCTTCAGAGGGACTCAAAGGGTTCAGAAGGGCTCAAAAGGGTTCAGAGTGCACTGGAAGAAAGACAACAGTGCATGGTGGCACAAACCTGTAGTTCCTGCAGTCAGGAAGCTAAGGCAGGAGGATTGCGGTGTCTGAGGTCACCCTGAACTGCATATAGAGCAAGACCCTATGTCACCCCCTCAAAAAAACGCAAAAAAAGATACCCGTTCCAAACAAGCTGCCCTGCTATTCCTGTCCTCTGTGGTTGCCCCGGCACTGCTAGGGAGCAACGTGCTTCATGCACAGTACAAAGATGGGTGCCAGGATTTTTCTAAATCCTAATGCCATGGTTGAGTGGATTTCTAAGTTCTTTATTCCTTTTCTTGTTTTTGAGACAGGGTCTCCATGTGTAATTCAGTATGGCCTCAAACCCACTAGATAGCCCAGGCTGCCCTCAGCCTCCTGAGTGCTGGGATTACAGGTGTGCACGACCATGCCTGGCTTATTTTCTAAATTCTGAGCTTGTTCTTAGGCCAGGTGGAGTTGGCCTGACTCCGAAAAGGGTGGAGGCGATGTAGGGGCACAGGAGTAGGTGAGGAGAATGATGGCCTTCTGTGGTAGACGGCTGTCAGGACTGGTCCTCCTGGTTGGGAAGGTTCTGTTGCCATCTCGGGAGGGCGGATATGGGCTGGGGAGGGGCACTGTGTGGCTGGGGATTTTCAAAGCTGGCCAAGCAGGGCCAGAGCCAGAGGCTGCACTTACGTGGAGAGGACTTCAGAGGGCAGGTCAGTGATGTAAGACGGGATCTTCCGCCCGGTCAGGAACTGTGCCACTTCGTTGCTAAAGGTGTTACAGTTGTGCTCAAAGAGGTTGTAGGCTTCACCTCTGTGCATGGCAAGAAAGACGAGAAGGAGAAGAGACAAAACCAGCAGGCAAACAAGAGTGAGTGGTGCCCAAGTGAGCACTGCAACTGCCCTTCCACTGTGCCAAAAGAACTGCTTGATCTTCCACCCTGGCCTTTCAGAACTGATTTCTGGGGGAAAGATGACCATATATGTGGATCCCCCAGTTTAGAATCTTCACGTTCACAAGAGAAGAGCTCTAGAGTTAGCATTTACTCCTTACTGAAATTGATTCAAGTTTCTTTTTTTTTTTTGGTGCTGGGGATGAAACCTGCCTACTAAACAAGAGCTTTATACCCAAGCCACACCTCTGCCCTCAGTTAAAGTTTATGAGAAATCTGTTCAAGTTTGTATTTCATCCCAGCTTTACTACAAACCTATGTTTTTTCCCCATTAAGTTTATCGGTACATTTTAGGTATACAATATGACATCCGTCATTGGGAATTTGTACCCTTACATGATGTATCTTGGTTCTTATTTTCCCATTCCCCTGCCCTCCCTTCAACCCCTCCACCCCTCCCTATTTATGAAGACTTTGTTTCCATTTTTTCCTTTTCTCAAAAATTTCCTTTCCCCTACTTCTCCCACTTCATCTTCCCCTTTAGAGCTTTTCTCTGGTTTCACATTATCCATTATCCATTTTGATTCTTATTTATACTTTGCTTCTCACACCAGAGAGACTATTTGGTATTTAGATGTATGTCCTATTTATTTCACTTCAAGATATGGCCTCAATGTCCGTCCATTTAGCTATAAATGACTAGTTTCTTATTCTTTATGGCTGAGTACTACTCTACAATATATATATTGTATATATATTATATATTGTGTGTGTGTATATATATAT